GCAAAGAAGTCTTAACATAAGATATCCTAACGTAATTCGGATAATAGATCCTCACTGCCTAAAGCAATACGGTAGTCCTCCCTCAAACAAACGTTAAGAATACCAAGTCAAATGAGGATACCTATGCAAATCTTGGTTGTGGTAGTTCCCAAGACATAGTAAAACCTTAAAATCGATTTCCGTAGATTATGAGAGACTTGAAGTCACCATCACGCGTAATAAGAAATAAAATAGTTGTTTTTTGCAAGAACACTCGAGAACATAATAAACTTTAAAACACAAGTTATGAAAGAAAGATAATGACTAAAATTAAACTAGATAAATTAAAAAAACGTGGAAGCCCAAAATCTCTGGCGAGCGCAAGCGTCTCCCGCACTATCAAGGCGTCAGCCAAATCATTGACTCTCGAGTCTCGAGTGTTCAGCCTGATATTCTATTGGTTTGTCATACTTTTTTACGCATATGGAAGAGAACCGAGTTCTTCGTGGAACTGTAAGAAATATAACTCCCAAACTGATCAAATCTTTAAGTTCTTTCTCCGTTAATACGGTTTCATTACCAATAGCATGGATCTGTGCCACAAACAGATATGGATATACGAGCTTTAATGCAGTGTTAATCTTCGATTGAAATAGAAGATAATCAAAGCCAGCTCCGCGTCTTGAGTTTTCTATGTCCTAGTAAATATAACTCCATGCTTTCTTCGGTTTCTTAGGTCACCTTGTTCTTTGGGCTTTACTTTGACTCGAACATGATGATCTTCTACATAGAGATCGCCATATGGTTGGGATGGGTTCGTGGCACCTTTAAACAGAGGCATTAGAGATCTACAAGGAGAATAAGAAAGCAGGATCTAGGGTTTCGAAGAAGGGGAAAACAAGTGTCTAGGTTATCGTCAGTCGGCTGCTGGTAAATAACTTATATAGCTAAGTTATCGTTAGAGAGTTTTTGATGGATCTTTTGAACTGGATCTTAAGCTTAAAGAAAGAGTAGTAAACCAAATACTTTATTTATTGGGAGGTTTGGTTTGATAATCCAAAAAAAATTATGTAATTTGAAAACTAACCTATGTTTTCAAGATTTTGAAAACTAACCTTTTTAAAGTAAAAAACAATAATATCTCCATAAAATTTGATAATTTATTAATTACAAAAAGTATATTTTAAAACAAAATTGGATAAATTGTAGATAATTACTACTCTAAATGTAGCCAAACTACACCAACTATATAAATAGCTATTTTTTGTTGTTGCTTTAATTAATTGCAAAAGATTAAAATATAATATAAACGGAAATCGAATTTTAATCAAACCGGTAAAATATAACTTTTTAGCAAAATATAACAATGTTATACCTCAAATTGAGGCAGTAATGTACAACTTGAGATAGTAATATATAACTCCCTCTCAACACATATAAATTACATAAGAAAATATCTTATACTAGATCGTTAAAATAAATCTTTCAATCAATTATATAGTGCAAAATATAAGAACTTCGGTAGACAAAAAAAATTACCAACTTAATTTTCCTATAATCAACTATTTATGAGAAACTAAATCAAATGAACTAAACATTATATAACTTGAACGCGAACTATAAATTTTATGCAATTCACCATTTTTAATTTTATCAGATATGTTATTTTTTATGGTTGTATATTTTATGTATAATCTACATTTTTTATTTTTTGATCAATCACGTGAAATTATATTTTTAATTTTGTAAATTATTTTATAATAGAATTAATTATCCAATGATAACATAATTAGACTTTTAAAAAAAAATTTATGTATCTGATAATCTTAGCTGCCAATAAAATTAGTTTTCAAATTTTTAGAAACATGGGTTAGTTTTCAAAATACACAAAATTTTTGTAATATTTTTACAAATTTCCTCTTATTTCTTTTCAATTTATTTTTAAAGTAAAACCGGCCAATTATTATTTTATCCCTAGACCGTGACCGTGAATTCGATTGTGAACCGGAACGGCGAATTCGAGATCAAGAGGGGGAGGAAGAAGCCAAGGCTCGAAAAGGTGCACGTGTCGCCATTAAAGAGAAGAGAAGGAACTCGACGCCATTAAAGAGCAGTACGTCGGAGGCAAGAAGCCAAAGAAGAGAGTGATTCTGGGTTTTGATTCCCAAAAGAGTTCGCTGTGAGGACATTAAATCAAGAGTATTGGTCTATTGGTCATAGTCTCTCATAACTTGTCTATTGGTCGTGGTAGTTCCTAAGACGCAAACCCAAAAATTGAAATAATTTCTACCACTCTCTGAGATTCTCTTCATATTTGCTGGTAAACTTTGTGATCCTTTTTTTTTTTTTTAACAATTTATTGTTCCTGAATGCAGGCAGAAAGGGAGGTCATATCTTGGCGTTTTGGATGATTCACAGGGTTCATTTTCTCTGCTCGATATTCCTTTGACTGACTTTGATAGCATTGTAATATAGCTTTTTTGTTGTTTTGTCTTCCTTGCATTTGATTCCCAATTGAATCCGAAAGTTAATGAAGATTCTGCTTCCGTTTTCAGACACTGGGAAACCAATGCCTTTATGTTGAAGGAGCATCAGCAATTCATCCACCATCAGTTGCTAAGGTGAAAAAATGATTCCCATTTTAGCTTTTAAAAAGAGATCAGTTTTGTCTAATGATAAGTTGTAGCAGTAGATTTATAGTTTCCCCTATTAACAGGTAACACTGGATCAGCATAAGATGAAAGTAATCAGTTCTGAGATTGTTTGGTCTTCTTCACCTGATGTTTTGAAGTACGAGGCTTTCTTCAGCGTGCCAGAGTTGATTGAATTTCCAACAGAGGTTCCAAGTCAGAACGCTTATGCTTACTTTTATCCTCCAACCAATCCGCTCTACCACGATAGCATGGAAGAGAAACCTCCGTTGCTAGTTAAGAACAACGGTATGCTAAAATTACCAGTTCTCGATTTTTTAAAAATTAACCACAATGCTTCCTCAGTTTCAAACTTCATCGTAAGATCATGTTTTCGTTTCAAATATGTGCTTTAGCCACAACTTAAATATTGCAATCAGCAATACATGCCACATAAATCATTTTTGTCGACATACTGAATCTGCAGGAGGACCTACTGCTGAATCACGTGGATCCTTAAATCTGAATATCCAGTACTGGACAAGCCGAGGGTGGGCATTTGTTGATGTCAATTATGGTGGAAGCACAGGTTTGTTGTTATGGCTCTAAGCATTACTTCATCCTTTTTCTGATGTCTCACTCTCACCATGTCGCCACATATGCTTGGGTGTATCTGGACAAAGCAAACATTATTTGAAGGTTATGGTCGAGAGTATCGGGAGCGGTTGTTACGACAGCGGGGGATTGTTGACATTGATAACTGTTGTGGTTGTGCTAAATATTTGGTATGTTCTTTCTTTGCCTATTTTACGTGAAACGAATTTGGAAGCAATCCCAAAACATTTTTTATTTGTTTGAGCAGGTGTCTTCTGGAAAGGCAGATGTTAACCGGGTTTGTATATCTGGAGGCTCTGCAGGAGGTTACACAACTCTTGCAGCATTGGCGTTCAGAGATGTATTCAAGGCTGGAGCGTCCTTATACGGAGTGAGTACTGAACTACTATTTTTCTTTTTTTTAGTGTCCCTAGTTTTGGTTATTTATTGGAATTAGCTCTTGAAAACTCTTGAACATATAGAAGTATCAGTAATGAAATTCAAATATATTGAACTTCATCAAATTTAGAGATACCAAAAAAAGCCTTTGACCATAAATATAAGTCCAGTTCAACTTGCATTGCTATGCTATGGAAAATATGATGGGATACTTAACATATCCCAAATGGTGGGGGATTAGATTGTTGGTTTGAGGCTTATTTTCTATATCATCACACTTTTGCAGATTCTATGTCTTAAGGTCTTTAGCCTCATTTTTTACCGACTATTTATATATTGTGACAGGATTTCATTCTTAAACGCAAAATATCTCTTTAAATACACGTTGTATGAAAGACCTTATGAACAACTGATAATTCATATTAGTTTGGATTTTCTTAATGCAGGTGGCTGACTTAAAAATGTTGAAAGATGAAGGTCATAAGTTTGAATCCCGCTATATCAACAATCTTGTTGGTGGGTCAAATGCTTTGAAGAGAGCAATATATCTTTGCTTTCGTTATGTCGATCAGTTGCCAAAATTATTTTGTACGTAATTGCAGGAGATGAAAAGGATTTCTATGAGAGATCACCAATCAACTTCGTCGATAGGTTCTCTTGCCCCATTATTCTATTCCAAGGACTGGAAGACAAGGTTCCCAACTCTTGTCTTTTTCTTTTCGAACTTTTTACGCCTCTTCCTCATTTTCAAAGAAAGTATTGACTATGCATTTTCAGTTTAGCATTTCTTAATTCCTCTAAAGGCTTAATTAGATTCATCATTTTCTGGATCTTGACATTTTCTAATTACATCATTTCCCCCATCTTAATGGTTTGTAGTAATTGCTGGTATAAAATGCTGAACACATACACATTGCAGGTTGTAACGCCAGATCAATTGCGTAAAATCTATCAAGCATTAAAGGAAAAGGGTCTGCCTGTTGCTCTTGTCGAGTACGAAGGAGAACAACACGGTTTTCGCAAGGTAAGGGGCTTGAATCACTTGCATTAACAATAACAGGTCTTTAGGATCGTAGTAAAAATTAGTAATGTATACGTATAATTGTTTAACAGGCGGAGAACATCAAATACACACTGGAGCAACAGATGGTGTTCTTTGCCCGAGTCATCGGAGGGTTCAAAGTTGCAGACGACATCACTCCTCTCAAAATTGACAACTTCGACACTTCCAATGATGCTTAGATAGATATGGTGTAGTTGCAGGACGTTTTTTGTTTGTTGCTTATCTGCTTGGATATCAAGGATCATCTTGTAAAACTCTGTTGTGGACAAATACCTTCCTAAGTTGTATCTTAAGAGGATTTCAAAACCGATTTCACTTAACGACGTAGCTCGAACATGGAACGCTTGTGCGCGGATGGCAGTTGCTGATGAGTACGCAGAGCGACATGGTGGCAGAACGAAATGCTTCTTGTTGGTCTTCAAAATGTTGCAATAGCCATAATGAAATGCTTCTGGTTGATCCTCAAAATGGGAACAAATTAGCTCCATTTGTATTTTCTGCTTTATCA